CAACTTGGCTTTATCAGCTGGGTTTCACCTCTTAGCTGACTTTAAGCAAGTTACCTAACTACTCTGTGCTCCATTCCCTGATTTACAAAAAAGAATTAACACTAACCACTTCACTTCTCATTATGAGATTATTGTATGTGTTACATGTAGTGTAATTCATTTTTCTATCTGAAATGTGAATCAGCTCCACATCACCAGTCTAAAATGCTTCTGGCAGAAGAGCTACACAGACAAGAGAACTCAACACCTCCTGAGGCAGTCCTTTTCAATGTCATATTTCAATTATTTTCTTTGAGAAGCTTCCTAGTAACTTTAGCTCCATCCATCACACTCTAGTTTAACTTACAAAGCGTAGTAATTCTAGCTCGCTAGACTCTAAGATCCATAGGGGTGAGGTTGTCTACTCTGTTCAACATTGAAGCCCCAGCATCTAGAACAATGATAGGTAGGTAGACAGTAGGTGTACAATAAATATTTGCAGATTAAGTGATGTGTTCTATGCGGTGTTTACTGATTGACCACTGAGATGCTCTCTGATATAAAGAGCAAAAAGGTGTACAGTTCTAGAGGTGATCATTTAATGTTTAAGGTTTAGAAGCTGAAGTATAACCAAACTCATGCTATGCTTTTTTAAAAATTTCCTGGTACATAGTAAACGAAAAGCAATTTTGCCATACTTTAAATGGCAATGGTCTTCAATGATACAGATGATAAAGCTCCTTCAAATAAACTTCTCAATGACTCCATAACTCTTAGTCACAATTTCTTTCAGATTTAACTGAAATATTAAAATTAAAATTATTTTATTAAAAATTAAATCTCAAAATGATATGCAACCCAGACATATAGACCAATGGAATAGAATTGAGAGTCCAGAAATAAACCCACACATCTATGGTCAATTAATTTTTGCCAAGGGTGCTAAGTCCATTCAATGGGGAAAGAAGAGTCTCTTCAATAAATGGTGCTGGGAAAATTGAATTTCCATATGCAGAAAAATGAAACAGGATTCACGTCTCACACTATACACAAAAAGAAATTCAAAATGGATTAAGGACCTAAATGTGCAAACTAAAACCATAAAATTCTTAGAACAAGCAGAACTAGCTTTCAACAATGGGTTATCTAATACAATAACAAAAGCATAAACAGCAAAAGACAAACTAAATAAATTTCATAAAAATTAAAAACTTGTCTTCATCAAAAGACTTTACCAAAAAAGTAAAAAGACAAGCTACCGTATGGGAGAATATCTTTAGAAACCATATACCCAACAACAATCTAATAACCAAAAATATGTAAAACTCTGACAACTTAACAATGAAAAGGAAATCATAATACAGGCAAAGGACATGAACAGACAATTCACCAAAGAGGAATATTCCAATGGCCACCCAACACATGAAAAGATGCTCAGTGTCATTAGACATCAGAGAGATACAAATCAAAATTATGAGATACCATTTCACTTCCACTAGGATGGTTAAGATAAAAAAAATAGAAAATAACAAATGTTGGTGAGGATGTGGCGAAACTGGAACCCTTATCCACTGCTGGTGGGAATGTAAAATGGTACAGCTGTTGTGGAAAACTGTGGCGATTCCTCAAAAAACTAAAAACAGAACTACCATATGACCCAGCAATTCCACTCATAGGTATATACCCAAAAGACCTGAAAGCAGAGACTCAAAACCAGACTTATACACCAGTGCTCACTGCAGCACTATTCACAATGGCCAAAAGGTGGAAACAACCTAAATGCCCATTAACAGATGAATGGATGAACAAAATGTGGTACATACATACAATGGAATATTACTCTACTCAGCCAGTGGGAGAAACCAAGTCTTGGTACATGCTACAGTATGGACAGAGCTTGAAGACATGCTGAGTGAAATAAGCCAATCACAAAAGGACAAGTATTGTATGACACCTCACTTACATAAAAAGACAAGAAAAGGAAAATGTATGGAGACCAAAGTTTATTAGTGGTTACCAAGGGTGGAAGGGAAGAGGAAAGGGGGAGTTACTGGTGAGGGAAAAATCGCATTGATTAAGGGTAGGGTTGCACAGCCGATATTGTTAATTGCTGTTAATAGGTTGTATACCAGTAAAAAGTTGAATTGGCAAAAGTTGTGGGATAGATATTTATAACAACAACAAAAAAAGAGTAGCTGCTGAGGCTGCTTATGTACAACCAAACACCTCAAAGGATTTGGTTCCTTGGTTCGGAGGTTCAGAGTCATGGTTTCATGAGCCATCCCAGTTAATTGGTCTAATAATGTGTTTAGTGCTTCTCTTCTACTTCCTAGTTCATTGCATAGTGTCTAGGGTCTTAAAAGCAGCCATCCAAGGCATAACAACTGGTCTCTATTCACCTGAAGCGACAAAGGAAGAAGGAGAGTCAGGAATAGGAGGAGGATATGGAATGTGTGGCTAATTGCCTCCAACTGGATGGTGCCCAGCTACCATTACTGAACATTTTGATCAAAGATTCCATGAGAGAATCCTGATCAAAAGGGGGAAAATGCAGAACAGAATTTCAGATTCTTATGGACTCTAGACTTTCTGGAGCTATGGAAGGTAGATGAACCCCTGAAACTACTGCCCTGAGATAATCTTTAAACCTTAAACCAAAAATATCCCCAAACAATAAACAGTTTAGCTTAACTACTAAAAAAGGTCTGCCTTAAGCATTATGCTGTTTTAAGAACTATCTATATGGGATCAAAGTGACAACAGTAACTTGAGAGACAGGAACCTTAGGGGCCTATAAGTTTATGTTTTGAGGGAAGAACAACTCAGAAAAGGAGGGTGAGAATAGTTGCACAACTTGAAGAACGTAATCAGTGTCACTAAACTGTACACATAGAAACTGCTGAACTGGTATTATTTCTCTGTGTATATATTCAACAACAAAATAAATAAAATTTAGGAAAAAAAAGATACGCAACACTCTTGCCACTGGTTATTTTGCAATTAACACCAAGAATAATAATAACAACGCAGTCAAACTTTATTACCTGAAAGCTACCCAGAAAAGAAGAGAATGAAAGTTGTGATAGAATTTCAAAATCTTTAATAACGTTTTTCTCATGACTTTCTTAGCAACACACTGTTATAAATAAACACCTCACTACTTAAACACTAGAGCTCATTTATAATTCAGTCACTTATATTCCAGAGCTTACAGAGTAGGTTTCATGAAGTATGTTCTACTCCACAGAACAGAAAATCAAATACAGTTAACAGCCAGTTCACCAACCTCTGCAAATATATGAAAATATTTCCATTATAAAGTAAATTTCTCCTGTCACTCAACAGTTTTAAGCAGTCACTTTGTGGTTATTAGCCTCAGCAAAACATAATTAGTAAGGTAAGCATGCCACATACACAAATAATAATCCATTCCAAACCCAAACAGAAAATATTTCTTTATTATCTAGGTCACTGATGCTTGAGGCTGTGGTAGAAAATTAGGGATCTACAAGTATGCAACTTCCATCAAAGGACATTGTTGTTGTTGTTAGATTAGGTGCCATCGAGTCAGTTCCGACTCATAGCGACCCTAGAGGACAGAGCAGAACTGCCTCAGAGGGTTTCCAAGGAGCGACTGGTGGATTCGAACTTCCGACCTTTTTGGTTAGCAGCTATATAGCTTGCCGCAGCTCTTAACCACTGCACCATCAGGGCTCCATCAAAGGACATTAGGTAAGGCAAGTACAAAGTCGACATAATTTTGTAATAAAAGATAAAATCCAAAAGGGTCAAACACTTTAATGAATACAAAATTAAGAGGACAGAAAGTGAAAATCTAGCTCTTTAAGAAGAAACAACCATGTATGACCACACGTGACCATCTTTCACTCCAACGGACAGCAAGCCTTTCCAGACCAGAGTGGATGAAGCCTCTAACACTACAAAACTACTTTTCCCCTTCCACTTCTATGAGATTAAAAAACTTGTACACTAATCAAAACAGTAAAATGATCTAAATATACATAAAACTAAGCCATCAGATACAAGACTGCTTTAAAAAGTTAAAATCACTATGTATTTTCAAAATACACCTGCAGGGTGATTTCAAGTACTGTGCGAGAAACTTAAACCACAGAGAAGAAACAGTTTAGGGGTAGACTCTGAGTCTGTGCTACAGAACCTGTCCAAGATGGGCAGATGACATGAAGACAAAATGTATACAGAAGTACAGTATGTGTACAGGCTTCCAACTCCCTTTCCAGTTTGCTGTGGAATAGGATTCCCTAACGATAGCTACTACTTCTGCCCTGAAAGTTGCCCAAGCAGCAAGGCAACCGCGGCTTGCAGTTGCAAAATCTAACAGACCGGGGCACTGAGCACTCTTCATGCCTGTACTCTGTCCAGGAACCGTTTCTCAATGTGGCCAGTGACAGGTTGCCCTCAATGCAGCAACCCCATGCAGAAAGTTTCAACAGTCCCAGAGCCAACTCCTGGGGCTTAGGGTGGACTTTTCCATTTTCAGTATAATAACAAGCTGGACTCTACCCACGCTGACAGCATCTGGAGTGCCCCAGAGCATACAAAAAGCTCTCTAGTTCATATTAATGCCATTTGTAAGTAAATAATGTGTTTGCTACTTGTTTTTAAGCACTTGACTACTAGCCGAAAGGTTGGAGGTTCAAACCCACCCAGAGGTGCCTCGGAAGTAAGGTCTGGCGACCTGCTTTTGAAAAGATCACAACCTTGCAGACCCTATGGAGAGCAATTCTACCCCGCACGCTGTACACATGGGGTCGCCATGACTCGGAATCCACTCCAGAGGAACTAACAACACTTGCCTTGATCTAGAGCCCTGTCCAGATTTGGGAAGATCCTGAAAAAGCAGGGAACTGGGGACAAGCCTCCGCGCTTCCAGCTCGACGCAGGCAGCAGCAGCAGCAGCAGCATCCCGCCGGGGCCCCCGATTCCCAGCAGCCGGGCCCCCGCCGGGGCAGAACCTTCCCCCAAGGCCGCCCCCTCACCTGATCTTATAACTCGGGAGGGTGTGCTTGCGCTTGATGATCTTCTTGAGCTGGTTGACGATGATGGAGGTGAGCTGCGGCATGGGCCGCCCTTCGAACTGGGAGCGTACCTCGAAGTCGATCAGCGGGTCCTCCACGAAGGAGAAGAACCAGTGGGTGAAGGGCACGCGAGTGAGGACGAAGCGCAGCCGCCCCACCACGCGGGACAGCTTGACGAACAGGTAGGCGGACTTGCCGAAGACCAGGTCCACGTCGATGGCCAGGTGGAAGCCCCCGTGGTACTCCACCTCCGCCTCGAAGGCCAGCTCCTCGGGCGAGGCGGCGGGTAGCGCCTCCCCGTCGGGGCCATCTGGCTCCCCGCTGGCCGAGGGCACGACGGGCCGCAGGAGCCGGATGGTCTTGATGAACGGCACCGTCTCGCCCAGGAACACGTCCCGCAGGCTCAGACCCTCCAGCAGGCGCCCAGCGGTCTTCGTCTGCAGCAGCTCCTCGAACTCCACCTTGATTTTCTTGGTGACCCAGCGGCGGGCCAGCGCCGTGTCCCGCAGCTCCCGGAACAGGAACAGGATGGTGGCGTTGAGGAAGTAGCAGGTCTCCCGTGTCGGCGGCGCGGGGGTCTCGGGGGCCGGGGCCGCGCCGCTCTCGGGGGGCCCGCCGGAGGGCTCCTCAGCCCCGCCGCCGCCATAAAGGTACTCCCTCAGGGGCAGGCCTGGCACTGGCTTGATGTAGCGGAAGCCATCGCCCGCGCGGGCGGCCTCGTCCGGCGGCAGCTCCGGGTGTTTGCGGTAAAGCAGCAGGAACTGGGTGAGGAGCGTGAGGAAGGAGCCCAGCACGGCCGACGCCAGGATCATGAGCAGCAGCCCCATCCCGCCACCGCCTCCGCCCGGGCCGCCTGGGCCCCTGCTCCCGCGCTGACAGCGCCGCTTTCTTCACGCCGCCGCCCCCGCTGCCTCCATCTTGAGGACATCGGGCGGCGGGGTCGGGGAGAGCGGCTCCCTGGGCCTCGTCCGGCTGCTCCGGCCGGCGCGGTGCTGCGCCTCAGCCTGCGGCGGCCCGCGCCTCTTCAGGCGCTCCCGGAGGCTGCTGATGTGCTGGTGCTGGTGGTGTGGCGGCGGCGGCGGCAGCGGGGACGGGAGGGGGCGGAATCAGCACCTCACGCCGGCTTCCGCTTATTGGACAAGCTGCACGTGACGTCAGGTGCGGGCTCGCTCCCTGCGGCGACGCCTGGCAGCCGACGGGCGGGCGCGCGCACATGGGTCCTTCTTCACCTCTCGGGGCCCCCTTCCAGCCCCGCCCGACAACGCCAACATTCAGTTCTCAGGCGGACTGCGCAGCGATCCACGTGGCTGTCACTTTTAGAGACGCGACGGGGGTCAGGGAGGATACCTGGAGGCACCAGTTAGAAGGTGAGGCCAGGCGCAGTCGGCTTGGGACATTATTGATCCCAGTCATCCCGTTATTTTCTGATGCGCCCATCTCCCTTCATTGGCCGTGGTCTGTTACTCTGCTGCAGTGTAATTCTGCCCATCGCGCTCCTGAGAGATGGGCTGGCGGCGGCTTTCGCTGGAGGGCAGCGCCGAATAGGATCTGGAGACGACCCAAGCCGAGGACAAGAGAGAACTACCTCGAAGAAAGCCATCGCTGGCCATCAATCCGACCAGTAGACGCTCTGAGTTCTGGAGGGTGGGCAGTGGGAAAGAGGGGCAGAGGAAAAAGGTGTAAGATGCGGACTGAGTTTAACACCTAGGTAGATATTCAAGATTTAAATAAGGACGTAAGTAAAACAGCCGGGACCAGGAATGACGAGTGAGATCTATCGCCAGATAGCTGCAGGATGAACAGTGGCTCGTTAAGCTGTGGCAATGTGCTAAGCCCCTGTGTGTATTACCACATTTAGTCCATCTATGAGGCAGTTATTGTTAGCCTTTACTCATTTTACAGGAGGAGCCTTGGTGGCCCAGTGGTTAGGGGTTTGGCTGCTAACGGAAAGGTCAGGGGTTCCAACCCACCAGCTGCTCCTCTGGAGAAAGACCTGGCGATCTGGTCCCTTAAAGGTTACAGCCTTGGAAACTCTATGAGGCCGTTCTACTCTGTCCTATAGGGTCATTATGAGTCGGAATCAACTTGATGGCAACGGGTTTGGTTTTTTTGTTTTTTACCCATTTTAAAGATGTGAACACTGCCACGGAGAGGTTAAGGAAGTTGCCTGGAATCACACAGTGCAGTCTGGTTTGTCTAACGATAAGCCCTAAGCTGTTGGATACTACTCTGTACAATAACACTGAGATTGCTAGGGTTAAAATGGGGTTTACAGGTTCCCTGGTGCACAGGAAGGGAAAGACTGGGAGTGGGGAGGGGGTAGGTTTAGGGAAGACTTCAAGGAATTTTGCACGGGGTAACTGCCTGACCAAAGTCATAGAGTTAATGGAGCCAGGTTGCCCAGCAACACTGTTACCCCTCACATTCTCTGACTACTTGGTTGTTACATCATAAGTATGTACTGAAATCCTTCCAATCTTATGGACAGTCCTACCCCTTAATCCTATCAAAACCAAACCTATTGCCATCAAGTCGATTCTGACTCATAGCAACCCTATAGGACAGAGTAGAACTGCCCCTTAGGGTTTCTGAGGAGTGGCTTATGGATTCGAACTGCCAACCTTCTGGTGAGCAGCTATAGCCCTAGTGCTACAGGTGTCAGATATTCCATACCTAAAAGTCAGGCTGATTCTTTTTAGCCTAAGGGCCAGGGCAGGGCTCCTCTCTAGTCCTGGAAGATCTCCAAGCCAGTGATTCTCTTGACTCTTGGTGATTCCAGAACAAAAACCGAATTCTGCCCCCGCTGGGGCAGGTGCAGGACTTTGGAACCAGGCCCATCTTACTGGGACGTTATTTCCAGCTGTGAGACAAGAATGGCTCCGTTGTCTACAAAACATAAGACAGGAGTCTAATGAGGAACCAGGCTCAAACCCCACATTCCACATGCTGTGGAAATCCAAAGCTGTGCCAGGATTTCTGGAAATTCCAGACAACCTTCATCCTAGTCACCTCTGGCCTCTGCTTCTGGGCTGCTCTCTCGGTTTTACACTGTGCTGACCCAAATGAGGCAAGTATACTATTCCTTTATTTCCACCCAAAACAACATATTCCTAACACTCATGCATCACTGCATTTAGATGTTACGGAAGCTGGGGGTGGGAGGTGGGCAGAGAATGAAGGAGGAGGTGTTCACATCACTGAGATACAAAAGCATCAAACTGCATATGACCCACCCTGGATCTTAAAATACTTTCCAACCACCTCCCTCCTCCACGAGGGAAGTCGTGGTCTTCATGGGAATGAGTCCTCAGTCTCCCACACCACCTCAAAGGCTCCTTCCTCTTTCCTCTCCTCTCCTCTCTTCCTCACTCTTCAGATTAGCTCTGGGAATCCCAGATCTTTTCAATCCATTACGTAGAGCCACTTGGCTCCCCGGCAAAACTTGCCCCGAGCGGCAAAACCATGAAGGCGCTCAGCAAATGTATTGCGAATACGAAAAAAATTATTCCTTCCTTGTGTTAAAATGGCTAACATTTATTGAATACTTACAATAATAATAGTATTTATAGAGAATTTACTATGTGCCCCACACAGTGTTAAGCATTTTATGTGCCTTATCCCATTTAAAAATGAAAATGTCATGAATTTTTCATGAAGTCAAATTTATTTGATATTCAAATTAGAAGGTAGTATTCTTGATAACTTTTGGTGTTAACATGCACTTTATTTTATGGAATAATGCTGTGTTAATAGAAGCGTATTGTTGTTTTTAATGCCTTCCCAGGGGAGACTATAGTTTGGCAACCCTACGTGTTTATTTTTAAATGTGACACAGTCCATAGAAACTCAAAAGTCTAAGAGCCACTGGCTCCAGCTCTGAAAATCTGATTCTTCGTAGGTTTCTGAAGGAAGAAGTTGCACTTTGCCTGTCTGCTGACTTTTTAATGTGCTTTAGATGACATCATTGAAATTAAGCTGCCCCAACAGACTTCACAGGAAGTATCCATTTCAAGGGTAAAGGTAGTTGGATACTGGAAATGGGTTGTGGGTAAGACTACATTGTCACCAACCAGAGAGAGGCATGAACTGCTGAACTCTGAATCCTTCCTAGTGACCATTAAAAAGGATGAGAAAGCCCAAGCCTGTGAACATGCCGAGTGTGTGAGTAGTATGAAAACAAATCTAATAAAAATGATATAAAATAATACAAATACAGCAACACATGGAGAAAAGCATAGACAAGTTTAGAGTATTTGCCTTAACAAATGATCTATCAAACCAATGTGTGAATTGTCAAAATTCAACAACTATTTTTGCGCATCTAGCATATGCCAGCCTCAGGGGACACTGAGTGAATAGGAAAGTCCTTGCCCTCGGAGGTGCCCAGCCCAGGTAGAATCAGACACACCCACATAACTCTGATGATAAAAGTAAGTGCTCTACAGCCATCTAAGATACTCCACTGATATTACCCCTTCGGGAGCAAAGGAGAATAAAGAAAACAAGATACAAGGGAAAGATTAGTCCAAAGGACTAA